TCTTCTATCGAATAACAAGTGTCAAGGGATTTTCTTCGTGCAGGCCAACGTAAACAGAACGCCTGGTCCGGGCACAATTTCCCTGATAGCACACTGACCGTGCAGAACAGAAAGACGTTAAACCCCATTTCATTTCATTTCATTTCATTTCGTGTCAGGGAAAATCTCCGTTACTATGTAGTGCATATTTTATATGTGTCAAACTAGGCAATTGTCCTTTTATCAAGCACCCTTTTTACAACCTATAGCATACTGTATTACATATACCAATAATTCTCAACCAGTATGCGGTGACACACAGGTGTGCCGCGAGATCCTCCTAAATGTGCCGCGAAATTTTGTACGGCACACTAAGAAAATGTGAAAAAACTACCCGATCCCAATTGATTATTCACTGGTGTCAACTGATAAGTTCATAGCTGTGTTTATTTTTCATTAGTTTGAGTCATTATAGGTGTCTATGTCTAATCTCTGTCTACGGTTGTATTCCGCCTGACTTACCATGTTTTTATTTTGCAATATTTAGCCAGGTTTGCCTCTAATTTTTCACGTGTTCCAAGGTGTGCCGTTGGCTAAAAAATGTCGAGAACCATTGGCGTATGCATATCTTCATTAGCCCAGTGGGTGCAGAACAGAAGGACGTTAAACCACATTTCATTTCATTATGGAGATGAGACGTTAAATTTTGATTAACCAACTCAAATGTGTGCAGTCGGAATTAAGTAAATCATCATCTAGTTTAATCGTTTTGTTACGCTGTCGTGATAAAAAAAACTTTATACCTAAAGGTTTAACAGTTTTTGCGTATTTTTGATACGAGTTTCAAAGTGTGTTGGTTCTGTTATGCAAGATCATTGCTTCCCTTGCTATATAGGGCATATCTTATATCGTGGTGTCAGACTAGGCAATTATCGTTTTTATCAAACACCCTTTTACAATTTAGAAACTTTTTGTGTTGTGTTTAGTCACCTTTCATATACATTTAAGATAGTCATAAAAGAAGTCGGACGATTATTAAAAGAAATAGGATGTGGGTTTTAACACGATGATTTTAAAAAGGTTTTTTTGTTGTTCCGCTCTCGTCATTTATAAAATTTGTGTTACATAGCAACAGACTAATTTAAAGGGCTAAGCCTCTTTCATTTGGACTAAATAGAGAAGTAGTATCGGTGTTCTTGAAAGAGCACCGATGCCATAATATATACAGGTTCTTTTTTTTTGGGGGGGGGGGGGTGGCTGGCCGAATGGTTAGCGTGCGCGCGCTGTATCATACGGTCTGTCATTGAGGCGACTGGCGTGGTTTCGATTCCCCGGTTGTACGTGACAAGGAGTAGGGTCGCCTGTCCGATCTCGTGGGGTTTTCTCCGGGTCCTACGGTTTCCTCCCACTGCTAAAAAAACCCTACGCGCAAGCGAATTACAGAAATAAAATTACAACGATATGTTAGTCCCGAAATGACCTAGTTTGTGTCGAGTGGACGTTAAACCCCATCTCTCTCTCTATCTGTACACTTGATCTTGTTATTTGACACACCCACATACACAAATCCTTGTATGAAAATCTATATAAAGGAGATTTAATACGTCATGAACCTTTTTTAGTAAAGCCTGTACCATAACAGGCCCGGGACTGTACAGCGCAGTGGACGCTTACGGCTGGCCCCCCGGATCCATTCACTTGATTTGATATTTGTTTATTTTGTGCAATGTCTATTTTCTGTCTAGTCCGCAGGTTTATCTTGTAGATTTTTGTTTTGCGTGTAGTGCGGTCCTCTTGTACTTACTAATAGGGTGATATCGTAGACAAACGTGCTCTACGAAACTCGCCTGACGGATCAGTCGTGGTCGAGAGGTTATCCATTCGACACAAACTAGGGGCCCATTTTGGAACTAACATATGGTTCAATCTTATTCCAAAAATTCTCTTGCGCGTAAGCAGTTGGAGGAACGCACAGGACTCGGAGCAACCCACCAGGTTGGACAGGCGACCATACTTCTTGTCACGTACAAACAGAGAATCGAAACCACTCCATTTTACTCAATGACAGACCTTATAATATAACGCGTATGCGTTAACCATTCGACCACCCACCACCCACCACCCACGAGGTTGTACAGAACATCGTTTCCATTCTAGTGATAAAGGTCGCTATCGTGCTTTTGAGATACAATATCTAGTAAGTGCATGAGGACCGCATCACACATAAACAATTACACAAGACAAACCTACGGACACCACACACAATATATACACAGACATGTCAAACAGCAAACGCATATATCAGATATATGCGCTGCACAATCCTGGACCCGATTTCACAAAGCATTCTCAGACTTCAGTTAGGAATTTACTCAACTTTCAATCAGTGTTTATCAGAAATATCTTTGATCCAGAAACACAGAAAATTTGCACGTAGCTTCTTATTGGTGTATTTGATACATTAAAACAACAAAAGTTTTATAACGGGCTATATTTTAGTTAAAATAAGGCGAACAATTTTGAGTAAATTCTTAACTTAAGTCTGGGAATGCTTTGTGAACTCGGGGGCCCAGGGCATGTATTATAGCGAGAACGCTCGGCTCTTTATCTTTAAATCTTACACAACGCATGTTTAACAAAATGATCATCATCAGTATTATTCAACCATTACGTTCATAGCAATATAAAATTAGAATGCAAGATAATTTTGACTAATTGCAGCAATTTAAATTTTTCAAATTATTTAGAAAAACGACGAAACTGTAGAAAATAAATTAGTTTAATGGTATTTATTACTGGTAGTTCACAGTGACATTTGGTACTTAAACTTGTAATTCACAGTGAAAGTTAGTGCAAAATCCTTAGTGTGAAATCCTTTTGAAGCAAACGATTTTCATTTATTTTTGGTGAACGAGGCTAAATGTCTGTGTCTAAGTGAAATGTCTGTAGACTGGACTAACCAGGCAGACAATCATTCAGTTTGGAAATGAAATGAAATGGGGTTTAACGTCCTACTGTTCTGCTCCTAACCCGGGCTAATGAAGACGGGCATACGCCATACAGTGTGCTATGAGGGAAATTTTGCCCGGACGGCGGCACTACGGCCTACTCTTATATCGAATTCCAACTGTCAAGGGATCTTTTACGTGACGCCAATGTGTACATGGGACCTCGGTTTTTCGTCCCATCTGAACGACTAGACAGCTGTCCTTGTCAGGCCCTCCGTCTTGCATCACTGACAAGGGGGGGGGGGGGGCACGCTGGAAAATCTGGATTAACTACTTTGAACTACTTATTTAATAAATATCAATTTTGAAGCCAAAAAATACCCTTGTAATAGGCGGATTTAACTCTTACATAATGGCTGCTACTTTAAATTGTGTTATTGTACGGGATATATATTATACATTCCAGTACTCATTTTATTGTTGGGTTTGTTTATGTGAGGGTCTGTTTTTAAAGAATTCAATTTAAAAGGCGGAGAGTAGTCTGCTTTACAAAATGTGTAATTTTATTATGATGTCAAACAAAAAACTATAAAAAGTGATATTTGAGGCAAGTCATCTGTGACAGTGAGCAATGTGCGTATCTTTTTTGTACAAAAGTTTTAAAATTAACTCTTAAAAAGAAAAAAAATTAAAAATGTTATTGAAATCTGGTAACTTCATACACACGGACGTACATTAATTTACTGCATCACATTCCGATTCGTTCAAAGCACATGATTAAACATGGCAGCGACCATGTCGTCAAACAATCATTTGACTTCTCGATATGTGGTGATTGGCTAATGAATTCTACAATCGGGCGAATGCTTCGGCGAAGCGGATACATTATGAAAACGAGAACAAAAAGCAGTAATAAACGGTATTAGTTCATTCCCGAAAGTAAACAAAGTGCCCCAAGGTTCAATTCTAGGCCCTTTGTTGTTTTTTACCGAGGGTGATATCGCAAACAGGATATTAAGGTTGTTCTTTATGCAAAGGTAGGTGATGGCCTACAGATTTTCCGAAAACTTAAATAAGATGGCCAACTTTTTTATTAAGTTAATTCATTTTGATTAGTCGTTCACAGTTCGAATTCGTTCACATTAGCCCAGTTCGGAGCAGAACAGGAGTACATTAAACCCCATTTCATTTCATTTTATTCTACTTCGACTGGGCTAATGAAGACGGGCATACGCTATACCGTGTGCTATGGGCGAGATTTTGCCCGGACAGCGACGTTACGGCCTGCTCTTAAATCGAATTCCAACTGTCAAGGGATCTTTTACGTGCACGCCAATGTGTACATGGGAGCTCGGTTTATCGTCCCATTGGAACGACGAGACAGCTGTCCTTGTTAGGCCTTCCCTCCTGCATCACTGACAAGGGGAAACCACGCCGGAAAATCTGGATGAACTTTCTCGGCCAATGCAGGGATCGAACACGCGAGCCAGCGTCTTACCCACTTAGCCACCGTGGCTCCCAATCACGATTTAAAACGGACCCGAATATTGAGATATATTGTCATAAATATTCAAAATCGCGACATTAAACATACATTATGCAAGAGCTAAATCTTCCTATTGCAGGTCTTTCTTTAGGCCTGAGATGTTATCTAAATTATTAATTAGACATGTATTAACAAAATAAGACCATGATCAACTCTCGATGGCATCATATACTCGAGATTTTAACTAGATTAGAACGGTTCGCCATTTAAAAATTTAATTAAAAAATGAGAAAACGAGGCTAAGTCTTTAACATACCAGTACCGTGGTTACAACTATGCCAAAACTACAAATAGCGATAACTTGGCTCAGAATGAAGTAATTTGAATGAAATTTTCAATATATTCATTTTACATTATCTATTTTTGAACTATTATAGCAAGAATGGTTAGCTTTTTATCTAAATCTAATATAATGGATGTTTAACTTAATGCATCGCGGTCGGAAATAATAATACACGGTATTTTTTGACGAATTGTTTTTAGTTTGGTCCGATATTTTAATAATTGTATTATCATTTATTTTACAGGTGATAAAATTATAGAGACTATAGAATTAGACTCCGGATTAAAGGCTTACTCGGATTAAAGGATTAACAAGATGAATATCCTGACGTGTTTAACCGTGTGTGGTATACTTTCAATCCTCGCGACGTTACTTCAGATAGCATCGTATGTAGCCCCCATGTGGTTATGGATATCGCGAGGTAACTTCTACATGGGTATAGGATTGTGGTACACGGCAGGTTGTGGGGCTAACTGTTCTATAACTTCAACCAGTGCTCCAAAATTTTCAGTTGAATCAAGTAAGTCAGTTTATTCTTTAAAGGGACAATAACACTCTTGCTGGCTTGAAAGCTCCAGAAAATAAATAATATCTCTATCTAAGCACAAGATGTTTAAGTGTCCTACCTGTTGTGTAAATTATCCATTACATCCTATTTTACTTGTCCAGAGGGTTCGAAAATATTTTTAAATCGAAGTTTCATTTGAAAAGGTCTACGTTAGACGTTTCAAACCATTATGTTGAATTTTTCAAAATTTTTAAATAAGGTGTGTTAAGATGAAATTTGTATCATCAGTTAATTGAAATATTGTGAAATAGTACAATTTATTGACCAGAATAAAGATTGGGACATATTATTCAGTTACAACAAGAGTGGTATTGAGCCTTTAACTGTTCAACCAATCTGATTAAAACACGGATCATATTTCGTTCTGTTTTTTAATAGTTGAAATGGGGCCGTCAGATAAGCCGCCCGTATGAACTGTTTATGTTCATGTGTAGGCAATTGGCCTGTTATTAACATACACTGGTTACCTCTAATAAAAACATCAGTGCATTTCCGCAGTTTTGTATTGTTTCTGAATATCCCCTACTTTTTTTGAAGAGTATAGTTCAAAATTTCGTTTTACTTGTCTTCACATCACTAGGATCTGGAAGAGTTGTTATATAACAGGCGTTCTGAATAATGTAAGGAATTAGCCAATGAAACGGTCTGTTACGGCGAGTTCTTGACGTGCGATGCACGGAACTGTGGGTACACCACTAGAAACGTCAACGCTGATTGATTAATCAATGTCTGATATCATAGGGTCAAAAGTCGCTCGCATGACCTCTGACCCTGAAACTGATCAGAACTTCGTGTAGTGCAGGCCATCGAAAGTATAAAAAAAACCCAAACGAAATATAGATCGGTATTTTAATCAATACTAGATGTTTTTAGGACAAACACAAATGTGCATTTATTTAACACATTATTTTCTCAAAAGCGTAAAACCTATATTGGCATACGTGTACTTTAACGGCACTGTAACGGTCTATCCAGCATTCTGGTTTACAATATCGATGCTTTGATTAAGCGATTGATTGATTGTAAATTAACTGATTGATTGATCAAGATATTAACCTCGACTTCCTTTCATATAATCAAACTTTCATATTTACAGATACAATGGGCTTTTTTTTTCTTTTCTTTTTTGCGAAATAACGAATCGCTAAAGAATTAGTTGGGCGGAAAACAATACCTGCCAAAATATCCATTTAAAGATACATTATGGGAGATTAGATAAAGAGCGATAATGTAAAGGGAATTTGCTGAAAATGTCAGTTAAATTAATGCACTCTGAACCGAGATTTTAGCGATTGAATATTGGGGCTAACCTCGATCATCATTACTAAAGTCGGTAGGATAACAAACATAGTCTGGATTAAACATTTTTTTATTTAATTATGAATGGAAGTCGAACAGCAAATCGGAACCTAATCCAATAAACATCGCAGGCTAGCGATGCCATCGAGAGTTGATTATGGTCTGGATAAGTTAATTAATGTCTAATTAATAATTTAGGTAACATTTCAGGCCTAAAGAAAGACCCGCAATAGGCAGATATAGCTAGCCGGCTAGCCCCCGGATCCATTCACTTTTTTTGAATTGTTTGTCTGTTTGTGTTTTTCTGAGTATGATGTCTTGTCCGTGTATTTGTTTTTGTGTAAATTTTGTGTGGTGCAGCCCCCCCCCCCTGCACTTACTACTATAATGTATGTTTAAACAGCATTATACCACTGTGTTAGATATTTGCTGCCAAAAAAACCCAAAAAAACAAAAACAAAAACACAACAAATAAACAAAACACAATTTTTAGAAAAACTGTCACTGGTTTATACACATAAAGTACGACGTTTCGACAAGTACTCTCTTATCGTTTTCACGGAGCAGAAAACTAGGACGTTAAACCACATTTCATTTTACTGTGACTTTTTGTCGTGTATTACTTCCCATACAAATAAATGATACAAAAACAGAACTATGGCAGTATGGGAAATATTTCTGATGGATAAAATATCATAATACCTTCATTACTCCGTCACGCGCTCGCCCCTTAAACTGTAATAAACATTTGATGGATATGTTTTCATTCTTATTGTTTACTATGTGAATAAGAAAAATATCACGTGAATAACGGATGTGGAAACAATATCACATGATTAATGGATGACGAAATAATGGCGTGCATGTGTTCTGAATAAATATGGGTAATTAACAGGTTGAACAAATCAAAGACACTCTCTTTGGATGTACATTGAATTAGAGAGAGAGAGAGAGAGGGAGAGAGAGAAAGAGAGAGGGAGAGGGAGAGAGAGAGAGAGGAAAAGAGAGAGAGGGAGAGAGAGAGAGAGAGGGAGAGAGAGAGATGGGTGTGATGGGGCCAGGTCTAAAGATTAAGGTCACCTGCACACTATGTCAAGGTCACGAGATGTAAACAGGGTTAGGGCCCGCGATTATTGCCGAGGATTGCGGTTTTGGACTATGTCTAGGGCTAGGGTTAACGCCTCGTGGGTTTTCTCCGGGTCCTCCGGTTTCCTCCCACTGCTAAAGACCCCTACGCGCAAGCGAATTATTGAAATAAAATTAAACCATATGTTAGTCCCCAAATGACCTAGTTTGTGTCGAGTGGACGTTAAACCCCATTTCTCTCTCTCTTTTATTAGGCCTACCTTAAACTTGAATCTTCTGTTTTATAGATCTAACTCATATTTGCATATACTGTCAGTAAAACACTGTATAACTGTTTTTTTCTTAAGTTCGTGAAAAAAAAATCCATAAAAGTATAAAAATAACAGGAGCTGTTGATAAAAGGCAATTAATCATGTACGTTTCTTTGTACTGGTAGGACGTTAAACCCCATTTCATTTCATTTCATTTCTTTGTACTACTTCGTATCAAACGATTACCTGTTTCGGCAACCCGACAAACACGACTACACGGGCGGGTTTAGGATGTATGACTTGATAAACACGACTAGGGCATGTTTTGAAATAGCGGGCGTGGTGTATTAGATAAATACCGAAATGTTATTCAACTTATTTGATGAATTGCAGACAAAAAAATGTATGAAAAGAACCTAAGGCGTTGTTAAAGCAATACAAAGGTGAAACGAAGAGTTTTTATTTCACTGTTTGACATGAAATATGATTTAACGTCCTAATGGTCTGCTCCGACCGGGCTAATGAAGACAGGCATACACTATACAGTGCGCTATGAGGGAAATGTTTCCTGGCAGCGGCACTATGGCCTACTCTTATATCGAACTCCAACTGCCAAGGGATCTTTTACGTGCATGACAATGTGTACACGAGACCTCGGTTTTGCATGCCATCCGGATGACTAGAGCCTATTTCTGGACAACATGGATAAAATGAAATGAAACGAAATGGGGTTTAACGTCCTACTGTTCTGTTCCGACCGGGATAATGAAGACGGACATATACGCCATGCAGTGTGCTATGAGGGGTAATGTCTCCCGACATCCGATTTCAGTCGAATTCCTGAGGAGACTTCTGTTTTTTGTCCTATGCGAACGACTAGACTATGTTTCCTGCTAGACTGTCTGATCTGCACCGTTGACGAGGGAAAACCACACAAGAGAATATCGGTGAGTGTCGTCAACTCAAAAGATGTCGCGTATAATAGGACCAATGTTATATTTTATTGACAAAACCTTTAGTAAATTCCATACTTTCTAAAGTTGATCTCTATATATTCACCACCCTTTTTTTCTTTATGCGTCGCTCTCTATAGCCTAGTGGGATTGACCGCCATATTGAAAATTAAGTGTACTAATCCGTTTCAAACACATAAAACCAATCAAACATTTTTTATTGCATTACATGAAATGAAATGAAATGGGGTTTAACGTCCTACTGTTCTGCTCCGAACTGGGCTAATGAAGACGGGCATACGCCATACAGTGTGCTATGAGGGAAATTTTGCCCGGACAGCGGCACTACGGCCTACTCTCATATCGAATTCCATCTATCAAGGGATCTTTTACGTGCACGCCAATGTGTACACGGGACCTCGGTTTTTCGTCCCATTCGAACGACTAAACAGCTGTTCTTGTCAGGCCCTCCGTCCTGCATCACTCACAAGGGGGAACCACGCCGGAAAATCTGGAAGCTCTTTCTCGGCCAATGCAGGGATCGAACACCCGACCTTCAGGCTAGCGAGCCAGTGTGATAAGTAAATAATTTCGAACCACGTGGCCTCAGGAGAGCGAAACTTAACGAAAATTCTCGAGGCAAGTTAGGGCGTCGAAGGAAACTGCATAGATAATTTTAAATGAATAATCTATTAACAAGTCATATTTATCTGTACATCTCTACATAACCTTTTACAATACAAAACACAATACATAAATTTATAAATAAGTTGTAATGGACCATTCGATTCTTTTTATTTTTAGGGATTAATTTAACTTCATTATTCTCAATACGTAATACATTAGATGTCTCGAACAGTTTTCTAGCCGCCGTGATCCCCTTCATTACATGTGAAAATGAAAACGGAATAAATACTTCTCAACATTCTCGAAGTATACACAGCGCTTTCGACTAACATCGTCGACTTAAAATGTCGTTGACACACTTTGTTTTTGGGGGGGGTTGGATGGCTGAATGGTTAGCACGTGCGCGCTGTATCATAAAGCCTGTCATTGAGTCAATTGGTGTGGTTTCGAATCCCCGGTTGTACGTGACAAGGAGTAGGGTCGCCTGTCCAACCTCGTGGGTTTTCTCCGGGTCCTCCGGTTTCCTCCCACTGCTAAAGACCCCTACGCGCAAGCGAATTATTGAAATAAAATTAAACCATTTTTTAACTCCCGAAATGACCTAGTTTGTGTCGAGTGGACGTTAAACCCCATTTCTCTCTCTCCTTCTCTCTCTCTCTCTCTCTCTCTCTCTCTCTCTCTTTGTTTCTGTTCTGAACATTCTGCACACTTCATTCCGCGAGAATAGATCTTTGTC